CAAAGGCAGAGGCGCAGCAGGGAACCTGGGGCAAGCCAGGACTGAAGCTTCAGTCCCCGTTTGCCCCAGGTTCCCTGCTGTGCCTTTGATTCAGCTTTATTCCCCACTCGCCCTGGGTTCCCTGCTGCGTCTCTGCCTTTGAAATGTAGCAAAAGCCCCATAGGGGCTACATTTCAGAGGCAGAGTGCAGCAGTAGGGACCTAAGGCAGAGGCGCAGCAGGGAACCTGGGGCAAGCCAGGACTGAAGCTTCAGTCCCCGTTTGCCCCAGGTTCCCTGCTGTGCCTTTGATTCAGCTTTATTCCCCACTCGCCCTGGGTTCCCTGCTGCGTCTCTGCCTTTGAAATGTAGCAAAAGCCCCATAGGGGCTACATTTCAGAGGCAGAGTGCAGCAGTAGGGACCTGGCACAAGCAGGGACTGAAACTAAAGAAAGGTGCAGACAGGAGAGTGAGCGCCCCACCCCCCCTTCGACTAATCGATGGAAATTCCATGAACTACTCAATTAGCTGATTAAACTAAATTTAGCATCCCTACATACAATATTTCTGGTACTTCACTGCAGAGTTCCCTGTAAGCTGTGCACTTGTGCAACCACTCAGGAAAGATTCAGATGAAGCCCAACTGATTAGGAGAGCACCCACAGCTGGGGTTTTTGTTTCTACTGGTGGCGCACACTTACACATGCCTCAGTGCACATAAACATTATTCTGCACCTGGATGGAAAAGATTAGAAGGAACATTGCTCCAATGATTTATTATTCGATGTACCCACCCCAAAGAGCTTCAATCTTAATTTAAGACAAAAGGAAAAGATGCAGATGTACACAGCAGGAGAGGATAGGGGTTGGGAGGAGATGGCTGGCACAGGACTTGGTTCAATTGGCTAGTTCAGAATACTCTCTTTGTGAAATCCTTTGTGCAGTGGTGAAATCCTAACGTCTTTAAGGGATGTGTGTGTGATCTTGAGGTTACAAGCAAGACATTAGGTTGTAGAACTGCCATCTCTGGCATTAACTCATGGGACCTTGACTAAGTCATTGGGCCTCTTTGCCTCAGTTTACCCATCTGTAATGTCAGAAAAAACTGTGTTCCTTTACAGGGCCCATAGTGGGATGCTTATTTTATTTAGTATCCTCACAATAAATGTCAATTATAACATCTCTCTTCTCACTGCTACTCTACTCTGTTTTTAACATTAAATATGAAGAAAAAAATGTATTTTGTCAACTTTATACATTTTGCAGCCCGTTCATCTAACAGACATGGTCAGCAGACAGAAAAACAAGGACTCCAAATCAGTTTAAGAGCTGCTGTGGTGGTGCTGACATTGTGAATTCGCATCAATTTAAGAACACTCCCGCCTTGCTCAGATGATCAATCCTACTGCTTCTTGAAGGCCAGAGGAAAATAGAATAGGTGGTTTCAAAGTAACGGATACTTCTCCAAGATGCCAAAGGTAGAAGGCAAGGCAAGTGTCTCATTCAGGGATTAGCTAAAAATCTCCCAAACAGGAGAATCAAAAAGTTTTAAAGCTTAATTTCGCTTTAAAATAGACAGTTGCTGAGGCCATATAGGATGGTTTGGGGCTGAAGTAACACAAACCAATAACTCTTGTACTAGAGAAGACGCTGTAGTTAAATGAGGATAGGTAGGGTCTAGGGATGCGAAAGTGTACAAGTGTACATGGTTAACCAATGAGCCCAAACTAACCAGGTTAACCTTCAGGGTTATACATAGTGCCCCCGCCACATACTCCAGCACTGCTGCATCTGTATCAGAGGCAGCAGTGTGGAGGAGGGACAGGTAGGAGCTGGTGTACACAAAGAGCCAGCTTTTAACCCAGCTCCCCATGAGCACCAGCTCCTGAGGAGCCACCTGCCCCGGCCCCCACTCCCTGCTGCTGACTCTGATATGGGGGAGGTGAGATGGCAGCCAGTATGTACAGGGAGCCAGCTTTAAGCTGGCTCCCTATGCATACTGGCTCACACAGAGCTGCTTTACCCACCTTTCCCCCTCCCTGCCCCAACCACTGTTCCCAGATCCCTGTGCACTGGCTCCTGAAGAGCCTCCCCCTCCAGCAGTTACACATTTACCTAAATAAATAACATCCCTAGTGTGGTCTGAACACGTGACTAGTTGCCAAGGAGACCAGAGTCTCAAGCCCAAGTCAGCAATGATTTGCTGCCTAGCAGTGTGCAAATCCTTTGAGTATCTTGAAGGAGCATACGTAGGACCCAGGAACATGGAGTGATTGGCCTGCACTCCCCTGCATGTCAGAGAACACACAGTCTCTGCACACCAGGCACCCATGAGAAAATTGTGGCAATTTCTGCTCTCTTTGGAGTCTCTTCCCTGGCAGTGCAGATTCCATACAAGCAGGGCTATACCACTGGCTCTGCTGCCTAAGCCTGAGCCTCTTGAAGGAGATGCAAAGGGTGGAACAGCACACATTTCTTCATGGACACTCCTGCTTACCCTATGTAACTGGGTTATCCTCCTCCTAATGGACTCCCAAAGCTATTGTATCCCAAATTCCTTTCCCCTCTCACCCCAACTTAAGATTTGTATGCCCTACCCATCATCTTTCCATCCAAAGGCAATTAGACATAACTCCCTTGCAGATTTCATTAATACTTTTAATCAGGCAGAGGCAATTTCTTCCCCTGCCACTAGTGTCTTCTGCACCACAGCTGAGTTTGTAACTGGAAGACTCAAGCCACATGTCCCACATGACTATGTGCCGCAGAACCTAGCGAGCACCAGCTGGAAGCTGGAAAGTAATTCTGAGCAGCGGATCTGAGCAGAGCAAGCCCAGAAGCATGCTGGGCATCCGAAGATATGTCATCAGTGGCTGTATGTACATGCCAGAGCCTGGGCACCTGAGTAATTGAGCGATCTTACACAACCCACAAGGAGGCAGAATTAGTTCAAGCCTCCTGCCAGCTCCAGCTGTGGAAATGTGATCTGAGGAAGCAGGCTGGTGCAGCAGGGGCCAGTATTAGTCACTGAGCTGTTTATTGCAGACACGTTTCAAATGCTTTTTTGTTGGCAGTTTCTGAGGCAGGAAAAGGGATTAGGAGTCAGGACACCCAACGTCTGTTCCCTCCCACTGATCTGCTGTGTGACTTTGGGCCCATCACTTGGGGTCAAATTCCGCCACCCCAACCATGTAGTCCTTCTGAAATAAAGCTGCCTATGGAATGAGATGGAAATCAGCATGAATCAGCGTGCGAGAATTAGGCCAAGAACATCTCTGTACCTCTGTCTCCCCATTTGTAGAATTCTGGGTGTTGCTCAGGCTTGCAGTTTAAGATTTTTCTATTGAAGACAGTATATAAACATCAATTATCACTATAAACCTGCTCTTGTGAAAAATCCTATAGCATTAAATAGAAAATGACAGCTCTTCTACAGGCTTTTTGGGCAATCATGCTGATACAAAATTATACACCTATATACTATGGTGCACTATTAATTTTTTAAATCTTATACAGAAATTAGCTTTATCCATTAAATTTTAGAGGCGCACAGTACAGTATTACATTCCTGGATAGCCCTGTGATTCTTCTGCTATTGAGTTGCATAGGATTTTTCCATATAGGTGACTACAACTGAAGGTTTCTATTCCTGAGTGGTTGGTTGGTTGTTTCTTTTTTTTAAAAAAAAAAGGAAATTTCTCTCAAAAGTTAAGAAACAAAGGCCTGTATGTTTCTGGGGCTCTGCACAGGTGCAGTGGTCCAGACATATGCAAAGCACCAGAGGTTTGGGACTCAATAGGTATGTCTAGACTACAGGCTTTTTCGACAGATACCATCAACAAAGCTTCTGCCAAAAAAAGAGCATCTAGACTACAACCAGTACTGTCGACAAAGCAAGCCGCTTTTTCGACAGAGTCTAGATGCTCTTTCGAAAAAGCACAGTTTGCATGCAATAGTGCCTTTTTTCCCAACAGAGTACTATTGAAAAAAGGTGTTATTCCTCGTAGAATGAGGTTTACCACCGTCGACAAAACTGCTGACAGAATACGGTGGTAGTGCAGACGCAGGTATAGTTTTGTCGACAAAGCCCTGTAGTCTAGACACACCCAATGTGAAAATACATTGCACTTACACAGTATTTTTTATACAGCACCTAGAACAATGGGGACCTGATCTGCTTGGGACCTTGAGGCACTTCTGTAATAAAATAGAGTTCCTGGTAGTATTCAAAAGGGATAAAGCATGATTAGCCCCATTTTACAATCAGAGAAATTGGGACACTAGAAAGGCCTATGATCTGGTTTTCACACAGGAAGCCTCTAGATCCTTAAGGGGCTTACAACCTAGATCTCTCACATCTCAGTCTAGTTCCTAATTTCAAGGGTGTCCCTCCCCATGCTACCTTTCGTAACGACAGATTTGTTAAAGCAAACTTGAATTCCAACCTGCAATGCATTCCATGTCTGAGAAAGGATGGGGAATAGGGCAGGGCAGGACAGACCTGATTCACATTATTCCTTTTACTAACCAGCAGAACCACAGGTTTACACTGGTGCAAAACTGAAGCAGCACAGTACAAGTTGCACCTCTATAAACTCTCTGGTCTGGCTCCTGGATCAGAGAGTCCCAGCATGCTGCAGGGGGTGGGGAGATGGGAGCCCGGCGTGGTGCAGGTGGAGGGGAGCCAGGAAGTCTGGTGTGCAGCTCAGCTGTGCTGCAAGGGGCAGGGAAGGAAGCGGGGGGGAGGGGGAGGAGAAGAGGGAGGAGCAGAAAGCCAGAGGGAAGGACAAGCAGGGGGCTGGAGATCACCTCCCCTAGTTCGTCAAAATCCTTCATCCAGGGCCAGTCAGGTCCCAAGGGTGCCAGATCAGTTAGGTCCATCTTGTAGACTTAATCTCTACACAGTTACAAGATGTGAGGAATACTATTTGGGAGCTGCTTTGCCCATTGCCTACAGCAGTACAATGACCAATTTTATTCAAGGTCTCTTTTGAAAGAAAGATGAAGACAAAAACAGCAGCTTATGTACAGGAGGCATTTAAACAAGACAGAGCCTGTAATTAACTGGTATCCTGGATTTTCTTAGTGGACAAGGCGAGTGCAATTCAAGTAGCTTTGCACAGCTTCTCTAATTGGATAATAAATGGCTTTTGAGCAACCTTATTGTCAAAGGAAGTTGTCACATTGCTCTTCATCAACCTAATTAAATGCACAGCATCTAATCTTATGTTCGTTGCAACACTCTACACAGCCATTTAAAATACAAACCGAAAAGGAGAACAGCCAAGAATTCCCAGAAGTCACCTTAGAAGTCACTTATGGCTCAATACATATAAAAGCTCTCCATTTAAACAGTTCAGTTATGTGCAGTGTTTGAATTAACAGCCCTGTTTTAATTGCGAGACGGCTGGTGGCAGAGGTGGATCCTGCTCACCCCACTTCAGTTCGCCTGCATCCAGAACCCCCATCAGGATGTACAGCTGGTCCCCAACTTACGACTATCCACACTTACGACCAAAGCAGTCGTAAATGCGGTCCCCGAGTTACGAACGTGATGGGCACTTATGAACAGCGCGGTCGCCATGTAACTCAATGGGATCCGAGTTACGAACACTTCGCATTACGGCCAAGTGTTTGGTCCGTAACTCGTTCATAACTCGGGGACCGGCTATACTGCAAGGCTCACCACTTCTTTCAGATCTTCCTGGCATGATGGGGAGAACTATACAAATGGGGTGTGGTGGGTGACTGAAGGATCTAGTGATTGTATGTACTTAGTGTGTGATTTAGAAGATTGTTGTATGCAGTGTGCTGAGAGAAGTTACAAAATGACTGGTTAACCATACATCTCATTTGGAACTGGAAGTACACCATCAGGCAGCAGCAAAGACAAAAGAAAGCAAATACAGTGCAAGAAAGTGACAATACAGTGCTGTGTTAAACGTAAACTACTAAAAAAAATAAAGGGAAAGTTTAAAAAAGGTTTGACAAATTAAGAAAACTTTTTGGTGCCTGTTTCATTTAGATTAAGATGATTAAAAGCAACTTTTTTTCTTCTGCATAGCAATATTTCAAAGCTGTAGTCAGTTAACGTTCCATTGTAAACTTTTGAAAGATGTGAAAACCATAATGTTTGTCACTTTGAACCAATCTCCTTCATTCCCAAGGTGTTTGTAAGAGATGTTCTACTGTACTCACAAAAACATCTGCACTGATCAATAATGGATTGGTATCAGTCTCAGATATATCCTGGGAAAAAGATGAAGGTTTAGCTATCCAGAGCCTTTGCAACGTCACATCTCCATCTTAACACACCTTTTGTTTTATTCATAACAATTTACATTTGTATAACTGCAAGTGTGAAGAGAGGCATTTTTGGCTAACGACCCCTTTAGAATAAGCCTTGCAGACTTAATATCTGTGTAAAGCAGATGTGTATTCCATTGCACAGTATAATCTGAAAAATCCACAGACAGACTTCATGGCTATTTATTTACAATGCATTTGAAGGAAAAAAGGGATGGATGGAGTAAGTCAAGATTTAAGCATGTGGTCCAAGCCAAAAGGGCTGTATATAGGACCCTGAATGCTTTGCACCAATCTGGATTTTAATTCTATGGCAGCTTCACTCAAGTTAAATATGAAAAACTTCAATGAAGTATGAAAATGGCTAATCCAATCAATACAAAGGACTCCTGATTATTTAGTTTGAAACTAAATTTAAGTTACTGTATGCCGTCCCCGCATTTTCAGTTTTTGATGTGCCACAAGTTTTTGCTCAGATAGCTCATAACTATATCCTAATAATTGGCAGAGGTGGGGGAGAGAGCGGAAGCTAGGCTTTCTGGCATTTGGGTAGAAGACAAGTGAAGCTTTTGGCAAATAGGAAGGCAGTTTGGGATTAGTATAAAAGCCTTTTAACTGGGTGTTCCTTCTAAAATGGTTAACAATGAAACTGACAATGCTGATGTTTCTAAAGACATCATTAGATTTAAACACCTTGTTGGGCTGAAAGGGACAGTTCATGTCTCAACTCTGTTTTAGACCATCTACAGCATCGATTCCCAAACTGTGTGTGTGTGGTGGGGGGGGGGAGGGCTGAAGAAATTCCAGGGGGGAGGGGGACGTGAGGTGACCCACCAGGGGGGGGGGGGACGTGAGGTGACCCAGCCACAATTCCACCCCAAGTTTTGCTGCTATTTTTTTGGGCGGGTGGGGAGGGTTTCTCAAACTTCAAAAAGGGGGCGTGATGTCAAAAAGTTTGGGAACCACTGATCTACAGACTCAGGGAAACATTGCGGCATTGACTTACACATTGGGTGATTTTCAGAGTCATGAGGACAAGTAGCTTTTTTTTTTATAAACAGTAAAAGTTTAACTTGTGTGTGGAAAGGTGGTATCAGAACACATAACATAGCCAGAATGTTATGGCTCAGGGCTTGTCTACACACAGTCCTGTACGGATTTAGCAATACCGGTTTAGAAAAAACACATATAGCTAAATCAGTACAACTTGTCCACCGGTACTTTTTGTAAGGCACAGCCTTGCATGAAAGATGGTTCTGGAACACAACTCCCTAGGGGGAGCTCCAGAAGATGGCCTGTTGGAAGCATGCTCGTACCTCCAGGGATTAACAGGAAAGCAGCAGCTGACGTACTCTTCCAAAAGGCACGGTCTGTGCTCACAATGCCAGGGGGGGGCCAGCTCTGTGAAAGGAAGAGCCCTGTTCCCTTTGGGGAGGTTACTGGCACCCTGGGCAATAGCTCTGTTCAGCGCTGGAGCAGAAGGCCTTTGACTAAATCCACCGAGAAGTGGCGATCAGGACAGAGAGAAAGGCATCCCTCCCTATATTGTGCCCAGCCCTGGACAATGTGTTTTCTATTCAGCAGCTAAATGACTATATCCTGACTCAGGGAGAATCATGCCAGAAGAGCTCTATTAGAAGTTCTGCTAGTGGGACCGTGTTTCCTGGGATCCTGGCAGGCTTATTTCTCTGAATGCTGGATGTCAGCACCATTTACATCAAG